TCTTCCAAATTGACGACGTACAAATCAATTCTACAAATTGACGACATTCAATTCAATCTTACAAATTGACGACATTAAAGTAAATCTCACAAATTGACGACATTCAATTCAATCCTGCAAATTGACGACATTCAAGTCAATTCTACGAAGTGACGATATTCAAGTAAATCTTTCAAATTGACGACGTACAAATCAATTCTACAAATTAACGACATTCAATTCAATCCTGCAAATTGACGATATTCAAGTCAGTCCTAAAAATTGACGACATTAAAGTAAATCTCACAAATTGACGACATTCATTTCAATCCTGCAAATTGACGACATTCAAGTCAATTCTACAGAGTGACGATATTCAAGTAAATCTTCCAAATTGACGACGTACAAATCAATTCTACAAATTGACGACATTCAATTCAATCTTACAAATTGACGACATTAAAGTAAATCTCACAAATTGACGACATTCAAGTCAATCCTAGAAATTGAATACTCATTTAAGTCAATCATACAAAACAGACGACATTCAAGTGAATCCTACTAGAAATTGACGACATTCAAGTGAATCCCAAAAAATGACGACATTCAAGTCAATCTTTACGATCACATTCACAATCACTGTTATCATCATGGCATCTCTACTAGCCACGGACACGTAGAAGAGTTGCGTTTATCTGGTGTTTAACTCAAACCATGGAGTGTTTGCTTTGTTTCATGTTGTATATTTTCCGTTATTCGAAGTTCGATTAAAAAATAATGAAAATTCGAGTTACTAAATTTGGACGTTAAACAAAAATATAGGTTGCCCGTTACTGTAATTTAAAGTCCGAGTTACTAAATGTGAACGTGAACAAAAATAAAAATATATGTTGCCCCTAACTCCAGGTTCGAGGATCGATCGAGTTGCAAAAGTGGGCGTGGTTTTGCAAATGTAGGCGTGGTCATTTTTGTAACTCTAAGATTTCGTAACTTGATGTATGTAACTCGAAACCGATTCACACATTTTGGGCCTCATTACTGTGTCATTGCTATGTTGCCATGTGTTGCAGCTGTTTTCTATATGCAGATGCGCATAGGAATTAGTAGGTGTCTCTTGTGATTATCCAGTCTTGACATCAATATGTCCAGTGTTATTCTAATACTCTGGCATTTATTATTTCATCAAATAAAGTTACTGTCATGGATGTATTTCCATGTGCCTAGAAATCGGTCACTGATACGATTTGATAGCTGGTTTCCAGTAAATAGCTGGTTGATATTATTCGACACTTGCTCATAACCTGTCATTGAATGAGGGTGTAATTCTCGTGTTCGTCGTCGTTATATCAGGTACCTAGGATCGTTACGTTCGCAACTCTTTCGACCAAGCAAAGACAAACACAGATGGAATTCGTGTTGACCACTTTTCTTCGCGCCACGTGTAGAGCTCGCTAAGGCTGGCTCGCCTCGCGGAGAACTCCCCAATACGCTGCCTACCTCGTGGAGAGCTGACCAAAACTAGATTTATTCCCTTCCCCAAAACGTTACCCTATCACATGGAAGTTTAAGAGCTCGAGGCGTGGCCTCCACACATTCCACTCGCATATAGCCAATCACACGAAGTACTTAACACGTCATATATATATACTTAATTGTCCGGTACATTAAGAGCCTACACATCCAAACTGTAAGGAATAACCATCCGTTGGAGACGTTTATATCGTAATTAGTTACAATCACTAACTCAAGTTCCGTCCAGGACCTTGTATAAACCTAATTGATGACAGTTTATGGGCAAGTGTCTAATGATATCAAGCAGCTATGCACTGGAAACCAACTATCAAATTATATCTCTGACCAATCTTTAAACACATGGAAATCCATGACAGTACTTTCAATTATATTAAAATGATTAATAATTACACCAGAAATATGTATTGCAAAAGTGTTTACCAGCGCAACACTTTGAATAGTGCTTCCATGCAAAATACTAACTGAAAATTGACAAGCGATTGTGACAGGGACACAATTTATTTCAAGTATGATCAAGCACTTTGTACTATTGTATAGTAACCATAACATACAATACAATACAAAAATCACATAATTTATTCCTAAATACAAAGAGTATGTTTGACATATATTATTATTTAAAAAAAAATAATCTCAATCGCATGAAAAAGTGTCCCCGACTTATGTGAAGCTGTATAAATGTGTTTGCTAAAATTCGAAACTTTCGTGAAACTGTAGACCCAACACCCAATAATTGTGAACAATGGCACTGAAACGTACAATAATAGCTTTAAATCATTTCTTCGTTGACATAAATAAAAGTGCCCAATTTCTTCCCATGTGCTAATGTTGTCTCGAATTCAGTCTCCCCAGACCATCAAATTCCTGGGAAAAAAATTGTGGAACAATTAAATAGTCATTAATTAAAAATGTCACTTAAATCACCCCCTGAAACGGGAAGTGTGGTGTTTTAAAACCACAAGAAATCTTCTCAACCAACAATGACCGATATTAACAGGACAACATTATATATTATATTCCCAATATTAGCAATATCATCTTGTCCGCTACTGTAACTTTACAGCGAGTAATGTTTATTATTAATATAATTATTATTATTGATTCAAGCAATGCGATATTTGAATCTGAAATATGTGTTGTAAAATATTTTTGTTTTATGAAGTAATGCATATATAATGTGAAAACAAAATATTACCACACGCCATTAACACGAATTGAACTGCATTTTCCTGTTAAATTCTACCATTTCTATGATTTCACTGATCATGTCTATTTCGACAAGGAGGTTATGCAGTATGGAATTCTCTTGTCCTATAAATGCATTAACTTGAGTTTAATCGGTTATTGTAACTACGCGCACATAATGAAATGAATGGAGGCTGCTGCAAATAACACTAACATTGCAGTACACAACTGCCGACGTATCAATTACAATTTCCATACGTTTTGTACCAGAGTAACTTCAGGTTTATTTAGTATTTTTAGTTTCCTTTTTTCCTCAGAACATCTAAAAGGCACCATTCGGTCCAAGTTGTTGTTGCTTTTTTAACGAATATGCCATCTGTCCAAACACTCCTGATTGTATAGTTCAATCACTGAATGAGCGTGTGCACAATACAAGTTACCAGTTACTTGAACACGCAACATATAATAATGTTCATCGTGAAAACCATCGTACCTCAAATTTTTTGCAAAAGAGTAGCAAACTCAATTGTTGAGTTCAATATTAGTGTTCATAAATGGAGAGTTTTGCTATGACGCGATGAGTTTTACCGTGACGCGGAAAGTTTTGCTATGACGCGATGAGTTTTACCGTGACGCGGAGAGTTTTGCTATGACGCGATGAGTTTTACCGTGACGCGGAGAGTTTTGCTATGACGCGATGAGTTTTACCGTGACGCGGAGAGTTTTGCTATGACGCGATGAGTTTTACCGTGACGCGGAGAGTTTTGCTATGACGCGATGAGTTTTACCGTGACGCGGAAAGTTTTACCGTGACGCGGAAAGTTTTGCCGCAAGCTTTGTTGCGAAGTAACCGAGCTTTGCCGCAACTAATTAAAGTTTTGCTGTAAAATACTAGTGTATGTCCGTGCAATAATAGCGTTTCCCCGTGGTTCATGTGATTTCGATAAATGTTTTTTACTTAAAAATTAATGTTTAGCCATTGTATAATAGTTTTATTTTGTTAAATAGTAACATTTGCCAAAAAATAATTGGGTTTTGCCTTGAAATTGTAGATCTTTGTCCTTAAAAAACAGCTTATTCAGCAGTTTTGTAGTCAAATTGTGGAGTTTTGTCATGAAGTAATATTGTTTTGCCGTCAAATTAGAAAATATTACTGTGAAATTAATAGAGTTGTGCCGCGATGAATTAAATATATGTTGTGACTTGTGGGCCACCGTAGTCACCTCACCTTCAGCCCATTGCATACCGTTTCTGTTGTAAAATTAACAAACACTCCAACAACCCACACTACGAGTCACATGACCAAGAGTGGTGTTAGTTTTGTTATAATTTGTTATTCTTCTCCGTTGCAAACTGTCCGCGTTTCCCAGGTACTCAGTTACAGTTTCGTTGCGTAATTTCGGGCGCCTTTTTTTATTCTAGTCTTAGATAATATACGCATATCAC